TTAGGCGTTAAAGTGGTTGAACTAAATCGTGTCCCCATATACATTCTAACATCTTAGGCGAGAACATCTTAATGTGTTTTACTGTACTATTATAAAATGGCTAAAAAGCTTACTTTGAGGATAGAGACAAGTTTTATTTTATTTTTTTCTAATTTTGAATGGTAATAACGAGTAAAATATTCATTAAGAGATATGACACATGACCACTTTTATGTCTTTACCATGTCGACCATTAATTAAGAAACAAAATTTAATAGTATTACTTAATGCCCCTTTATATGTAAGCCACAGTGCCACATTTCGTTTCTTAAACTTTACCCATTCTGAGATATTGTTTAATATTCCAGAACAGAAACTAAAGAAATTAAACAAATTGGACACGCGCGCGAATTTTTCCTAATTTATTGATTTTTTAAGGGGATCGGGAGGTCTCCAAACGTGTAGATTTAAAAAAAAAGCTTGAAGGATCAAATTTGACACGATTCCAATACTTTTCCGTTTTATATACATAACAAGTTGATAAGTAAAAACGATTCGGAGTCGGCAGGCTTTTTGAGGACTCCGACTCCGACTCCGACTCCATAGCTCTGGTTTTAAGATACACGTAATTCTCGATATACAAATAGCAATACAGTATTTAATAAAAAAAAGGAAATTTGCCAACGAGTTGCTTAATACTTCAGGCAACTTTTAAAACTCCCTGTGGCGCAATCTATTATGATATTCTACTAAAAAATAATCTTATTATATTTTGAATTATAATAAAATGACAAAAAGCTTAATTTTGAGGGTAGGATGAGTTTTATAAAAATCGAAAATGCTAATAACCGGTAAAATCTTCACTAAGTTCGACCCCACTCTAAATATGACACACGACTTTCCCTTCTATCTTCGTACTCCGTCGATCTTTGACCACCAAAATTTATTATCATCAATCTCAGTAATACACAAACCTTCCTGCAAAATTTCACAAAATTTCGACAAAAAGCACAAGAGTTATTAAGCTTCAAAAGGAAGGAACAAAATCGTATAACCACACCGTAATATTCACATAGAAAACCCCCGAAATTTTTATGAATTTTACGACGTTTTAAAGATTCCTTAGAACAAAAATGAAAAATCTTCGGGGAGGATCAAAAATCTGGTTATACGATCGATCCTTTAGTAACTACCCTATTTTCAGGAACGTTTAAACAAAATTATGTACAAAATAATTTTAAAAATAACATCATACTTTATGCTTGATAATGCCTAATCTAATTTAGCGAAGTCAAATTAATTGTTCAAACGAACAATTCTTCATCAGTTATAGAAATTTTAAGATGAAAATGAAATAATTTCAGTAATTTCATTTATTTTTCCATTAAAAATTAATTTAATAACATTTATAATTTAAAAAAATTAATTATAAACTATTATTTAAACGCAATTATACCATTTAGTCGAGTCATGTTTTTTGAATAGTTGCAACTAATTATTCCGGGTAATGGAGAATCCGTATAAAATAACAACAACACACAGGGATTAACCATTAATTTTGTAGTAATTTAATCGCTCGCACCTTTGGATTTCTCCAAATTTTTACTCGTATCTACGTGAGTAATGCTTCATTTTTACTTTAAGTTCTTAGTTATTCAGTGAAGAATACACGAGTGTATTTCATTAATAAAATATTAAAATAAATACATAGATATTAAGGCAGTCCAGAGTTCTTGTATGAGTTTTTGGGTAAAGAGGGCATCGTTTTCCATATTTTCAAACAAATGAAATGAGTAAAATCTTTCTTAATCAATTAAAATTAGTCTTACAGCAGTAAAAGAAACATTCGTTTTACAGGAATGGGAACCATTACTGCATTACGGTCCTTAAGTTTTCTCCGGGTTTGGGCATATATCAAGAAATTTCTACTTCTTGCACTGATATTATGCACAGTCGAATTTATTCCTGGTAAGTATTATCTTATATAATTATTCCTTAAATTTTTATAATTACACTAATCAAAAATAAATGTAAACAGGAAATGCTGGAAAATTAACTACGGAAGCAATTGTTTTTTGTAGAGCATTCAATTACAGTAATTTACTATGTAGCAAATTTTGCGAAACTGCAGGTTATACACTTGGAGAATGTACATTACAGAAGCATGGAGAGGACAGAAACGTATGTTTGTGTTATAGATTTGAACCAGAATTAAAGACTGATGCTTAATTCTATTCTGTATATTTGTTTGTTTTTATTTGTATTCAGTAACGTAACAATCAGGCGATCCGCCGAGAGGATGTCTCCCGGGAAGTTTTTCTAAAGGAAGTTAATCCCTATGAATGTATGCCTCTTTAATTCGAAATTAAGTTCGGTAGACTATCATTACAGCTTTCAAGAGGGCCCTAATGGAAAAAAGTGATTGTAATGTAGTATTGCAGTGAAGAGAAGTTTAGCATTTATATAAGTTCGAAATGCATATATGAAAACAATAAAAGAAATATCTAACCTAAAAGCTGTAATGATAGTCTACCGAATTTAATTTCGGATTAAAGAGACATATATTCATAGTACGTAATAACAACTACCATAAGTGATATTTAGAAGTTAATCCCTATTTAGGTATTATAAAAATACAAAATATTCAGGAACTAGTTGCTTAACTTTTCCGGCAGCATTTGGTAGCGCTGACTTTTATCATATTTTATTAAAAAACTTTTTATATTTTTAACTATTCTGAAATGACAAATAAAAAAAACTTAACTTTGAGTGTAGGGATAACTTTGATAAAAATTATAAATGTTTATAAGGAGTAAAATTGTCATTAAGATCGACCCTGCTTGAGATATGACACACGACACTCTATCTCTCCACCCTCTAGAATATTTGTAACCTAATTTTAACAGAATCAATCCTCCTAATACACAAACCTCCCTGCAAAATTTCAGAAAATTTTGACAAAAAGTACAAGAGTTATTAAGTTTCAAAGAGGGTGAACGAAATCGTTCTTTCCACACACGCACTAACAAACACCGATAAAGTAATAATTCGTATTGTTAATACAGCTAATTTATTTTAAATTTTAAACGTGTCTTGTATTATTTTTTTAATTGTTTTTTTTTCTTGTTAAAAATATAATGTACGACTACATTTACGTTATGAAAATTGTTTTACTCGGTTAATTAATTTTACTGTAAACATCTAAATAAGAACATATGAATACATTGAATAAAGGTAGAGTTGAAAGTCCTGAAAGACAGGTAAGTCTCAAAATTATTCAAATTATTGTGAGACAGAAATTTATACGATATCATCGCATAATTATAGGTAGACGAACAAGGATTTGTATGTGTGATTTCTTTTTCTTCTTGCGAAGAACGACGTTCTGCAGGATCGAAGTTTCTGTTATGTAATTTAAACAATGTAATTTATTAGTTTTATTTTTATTTAATTCGTAATAAAGCGTATTGTGAAAACTATAGGCCTAAATAATTCATTTAATAATTTATAATACCGGTAATCGCAAAGAAGTCTGATTGATTTGATAAGGTAGAGAATGTCACCATAAGTTTATAGTCACGTAATGTTCGCCATCAGAGGAAGAGTTTTTTATTTTTCTTTTATTCGTATGTTGCTTCTGAGATGATCTGTTTGAAAATCTTGCAAATTTCAACTGAGGATAAGTATATATTTATTTCAAATTTTAAGTTTTAATTATTATATGTATAAACTACATATATTTAGCTTAACATTTCTGCTTTTCCCGGCGGGTTTTCAATGACACTGTCTTTAATCTATAAAAATTCAAATTAATTTCAAAATCAAAGTTATTAAATTAAATTATTTGATGCAAAAGTGACACTATTAGTTTCGAGATCACTTCCGTATTGTGTGCTAGAAGCACCATATTTCTAAACGTTTCACCCGAACAAACCACCTCGCCAATTCCTGTGGCACCTGCCTAATTAAAGAACTGCACTCAAATAACAAACAAATTCATAGGGTTTATGAGATTATTTTATTCAATAATTCGCTACCTCTGCATTATCACGATTAAACTGACAAATTTTTCAATACAAACCGGCGTTACACCATCTCATACACCATTATTTCGCAGTGTTTATTAAGCTTTGTTTCTTTATTCTGAGTCATAATAAGGTTGAAAGCGTGACAAAAGACAGAGAACGATGACCCGGTCAATTCTCCCCATGATAAACGGGTGATCTGAATAGAATAGAACTCAGTTTGTTACAATTTGGAATATCAACATTTACCCCGCAGATATATGGCGACAATTTTAAAAATTATATCGGAATCTTGAGTATATAAATATTTACTTTTAAACAAAATTCGTATTCGGGCTCTTACAGATACAATAAATTTACAACTGACATTATTTTCCACGTGGAAACAGAAAAGAGATCAGTGCTTACAAGTGTTAATTTGGGTCACATTTTTAATTATTTCAGTATCTATATAAACAAAGTCGATTCTAACACCACTTCACTTCTCTTCTTCCATTAAAAATACAAGATTGAAAATCAATTTATTAATTCTCTCTGCAAATGTAAGTATCGTACACTCTGCGATTTGTTACGGTATTTTTGAAGATTTCTGTCAAATTTTAGAATGTTAACATTATCTATTAATTTAAAAAATTCTCTCGAAAGAACAGACATTTATATAATTTATGAACTTAAATTCAGTTGGAAAAGCTTTGTAAAGACGATTTAATTAAATTTTATTTTGATGTATTTTATTAATAAAGTTGAATTTATTTTTCAGATGATGATATCACATTTCTTTATTATTATAAATCTTGCCGCACATGTAATTTGCCGTCCTCGTGTTGCGGGTAAATATATTACTGTTTACTTACGCTATTTATAGAAAATGATAATCACAATAATAATAATAGACACTAATTTCTATTTAATCACACGAAAATTAAAATTAATTGTAATTATTTTCTGCTAAAAGACGAGAAGGAAGAGGTTTGCAACAAAACGAAAGTTTAACTTCAATTTTATTTATTTTTTTAATTATTCAATATTCATTATGCATATAAAACTTAACTTTTTAGTGGTGCTGTATGCTCCTCTGATGCAGACTGCTGTCTTGACCAGAAATGCATTTATGGAGGAGGCAATTGCCAAATCTGTATTGCTAGATGTGTTAACATGACAATAACAATTAAAGGTGGAATACATTTACAAGGATAAAATGTAGTAAGGTATAACCAGGGCTGTGGAGTCGGAGTCGGAGTGGTGGAGTTTTGGTGTTTTAGACGGAGTCGGATTGGTAAGGAAAAGTCGGAGTCGGAGTTGGAGTCGGTAGATTTTTACGCGACTCCACAGCCCTGGGTATAACTATTCTATGTCATGTACAACAAAAGGAAAAATAAAATAAAGCATAATATACACAGTGTATATACAGATCGTAATAATCGTAATGTATTGATATAACTAGCAGTCTTGTAACATTTATTCTGTAGTAAAATGAATGCATTCTCCTGAAAATATTTTGTAAAAATCATCTAGTGAAAATATATATATATAGGCCTATATGTAGACAAAACATACATAAAATTTTAAAGAACACAATATTATCTGTATGGTAGAAGGCACGTTTGTGTTATGGGTGTAATAGTGGCACGTGGTTTTTAATGTACTTAAAATATCTAATAAAATTGTAAATTAAGTAAGCGGTAAAAGGTTTTAAATAAAAATTTTAATAAAAAGGCTACATAGACATTATAAAAGAAAAAATATAGTGAAAAGTCATCTGAAAAGAAGTGCTTCAGGGATAGTTTTTATGAGTAACTGTGGTTTAACACGTGGATAATCCAGAAAATTTCAGCTCGCTGATCAGGCGAGAACACGCTACCAAATCTTAGATTTCGGTGGGGTTTAATCTACTCTTCCATAGGTCAGCGCATGTTTCGGTGATTACATACATTAAGCGTGAAATTAAATTACACGATATTTTGGGTGATGACTCACTGAAGGACTTTCTATGGAAAATTGGCTCTATTTACATGTTACAAATGTAAAGAAAACCAGAAAACGTCAGGTGTCCATTGGCATAGCGCGAATCCACCAATCTTCAGTAGTGTTACCTTCTTGTTCGCTGCTTGGTTTGTGTTTTTGAAGAATCATTAATAACTTCTGTGATTTGTGTTTAAATTAATAATATTTCTTTGGAAAAAACTAGGGTTTCTCATTTCCCGATGTTTTGCTTATCTCGGGATAGAATGAATTATTTTTAAGATGTACAAAATATGTTGAAATCAAATGATATAATTAGTTTTTACTTTTTAAAGTAATTTAATACGTTCTGTACCTGATAAATCATATTAACAATGCTGTGTAAGATATACAGTATATTAAAATTACCTTTGAATTACGTAGAAATTTACACAAATAGAAAAAATATTTTAAAGTTTGCTGGAAACTGCATACAACAAAATGCTTTGAACTCAGTTGAAAATTAAAAATAATTGATCTTAGATCAAACTTCTAACTTAAAAGGTAATTTTGTTATTTAAATAAAACATAATACAAAATATTATTGTAAATTTTTATAATAAGATTTTAAAAAACAAAGATGGTCAATACTCCGATCACCGTATCTGGTTCTTATTTAACTAATGAAAAGTCCTGCTACCAAGAATAACCTTTCGATTCAATTGATGTGTGTGGAATCGTCTTTAATTAACAGTCAGTCGCGGGTTCGCATCCGACAAACGGGCTGGATACGTAGAGTTTTCCGGTTTCTTCACGTGTCTAACACTTTTTGGGGGTAAGCTTCATATGAAAAATCTTTTCAAAATGTTTTTAATTATTATGTAGAAGATGTATTTTCTCTTTTGAAATTTTCGCTCCAAGGTAACTAGGAGAGTTTTTTAGATGTTTAGCTTTGAGTTAATTTCATACGGCAACGCAATCCATGGGCGATATGGAAGGAGACTTTCTATGAAAACTACTTATATGTTAAATACGCGGAGAAAACCTCTGCCACTAGACGACCAACAGCGAGAAGCCGCTATCATTCAGTGGTTTTATTCACTCGGCACTGTTGGACACTTTCTTAGGACCATTGTGAGTTCGACGAAATTCTCAAAAAGACCAGCAGATGGAGAGGGTAGTGCTGTGTAGAGAGTAACGTGTGTCTTGAGTAAAATACATATCGGAGTCTTATAGGAATGAAGACATGAACGAAAAAAACATTGGATCCTGCAATTTCTTGGTATTCAGGGCAGCTTGCTCCGTTTTGCTTCCAGGTTGAATAGGGTAAGGATTAGAACAGGCGTGACATATCTGGAACAGATTAAAAAATTTTCTGATGTTGAATCCG